GCAGTTCCCACAGCAAAACATTCCGGGAACCACAGCAGTTCCCACAGCAAATCATTCCGGGAACCACAGCAGTTCCCACAGCGAATCATCCCGGGAACCACAGCAGTTCCCACAGCAAATCATCCCAGGAACCACAGCAGTTCCCGCAGCGAATCATCCGGGAACCACAGCAGTTCCCACAGCAAATCATCCCGGGAACCACAGCAGTTCCCGCAGCGAATCATCCTAGGAACCACAGCAGTTCCCTCGCGAATCGTCGCAAATAATGTACAGTGCATCCGCGTCGGGTCGCATTAACTAACTCTATTGTGTGTGTTGCGGTATCATCGGGCGCCGAACAGTAAGGACACACCGTCTATAGCTGCAGCCACAATCAAGCAAAATGGAAAAGCTTCTCCCCGTTCCTTCAGGTGCCAGCGCTCCGCTATCAATCTTGTAAAGGCTCTGAAGTTGGTGCGTTGTAGACTTAAATAATTCGCCGCCTTGTCTGATAGCGGAGCGCTGGAACCTGAATGAGCTGGTGGAACGGGGCTGGAAGCCTGCGAGCGAGTGACGTATTTTATGGGCGCTATTTTACTCGATCCTGGAGCCGATACGTCTTCCTCAGCTAGTGGGTGCGAAGCCACCTTAGACCGCACCTCCTCATAGTATTTTCTGGCTTGATCATACTGATTTCCAGCAAAATACCCAACGTCCTCATGCCTATACATGTCTAAAGCGGAATGATTACTATTGAATTCGGCCCAAAGTTTATCTAACTTTTCTAAGCGCTGTATTATGTAGTCGCGAGTCTTACGACTCGCCGAATCCTTAGAAAAGTTTCTATCGATTTGCCGGATACATTCGAGCACTTCTTGTTGGCGTTGGACAAGCTTATCCATTTTAAAAACGTTTGTTAAAGTTAATAAATGGGACGATCTTACTTGTTTTCGGCTGCAGCTATTGACGGTGTGCACTTACTGCTCTGCGCCCGACGATACCGCACCGCAACACACACAATAAAAACAATGACAAATACTGAGTTAGAAGTTGCCAAACGGATGGATAAAGTCGCATCACACATCAGAGAAAAAGGTCATGCGAACTTGAACTTAGATCTAAGTTCTTGGAACCAATTGAACAGACATGATCTCAACAAATATATATTTCAAGAATTAGACACACTGCATGGGAGGAGGAATCTCTACTCTGACTCGCATTTATGGTTCAACAGATGCATGGTGCTACTCAGCTCTAGATTAACACCCCCTGAAATTGGCCCTAATGGAGAACCCTTAGCAGGAGATTATTGTCACTATAATCAGTTTGGTGGTTTCGAAGGGATGAGACATAAGACATAAACATGGATAAGCAATCTTGTCATTTCGAAGGTCACCTGAATTCTCCAATAGTTGACGATGAAGTCAGATTCATTTTAGGCTACGATAAGTTCTATTGTCACAGACATGAAAAGCTTAAAAGCCTTTTTACCACAAAGTTCAAGGGGATCCGACCTTACTCTGAATATTCAGGGTGTTATTGGTCCCTTGCTGAAGAAATAGTCTCTAATTGTAAATTCCGGGTACCTCAACGTGACTTGGAGTTCTCTCTCAGAGTATTAGCTGAGGCAGCAGTATGGAACACTCGAATTCATCACGAAGGTTACTATGGGATTAAAATGAGTCTGGAACATGAGCTGGAGAATTACATTACTATCTTGCATGACAGCAAAATTCAAGATCTTTACAAGATTAAGACAAAAGTCGAACACATCAAAAGTCAAATCACAAACATAGAACAGACACTCGGGGAGTTCCATGTTGTTTCCGATGACCTCCTGATCGAAAAAGAACTAGCTATTATCAAGACCAAAGGAGATTTTTTCCTATTCCCGACAACACTAATAATGTGTGTCCTTGACAATCTCCAAACTAGATTTTATATTAGACTTCACGTTATGATAAAAGAAAGAAGTGACAAAATACAAAATTTAACTTTCCACTATGACCTCCTTCATTCATCATTAATAAGACTTAGAGGAAAATATAAAAATAGATTTTTCGAATTGATGAAGAATTGGGATGCTTATTGCATCGGAGTTGCCGTATCTGATGAGATCGAAGATTTGGGATTCAAGACCCTTAAGAGTTCAATAGAAGAAAATCTGTTTGAGGAATTTGACAAAAGTAATATTCGAGAACTTCTAGAGACAATTTCATGTTATGGAATAACTCATAGTAGAGACATTGCAGTTCCTATTTCCCTGTACTTCTCAAATCTCAGTAAGAATTATGGGCACCCAATTCTCCACCCGACAGAAGGGATTGAGAAATTAAGGCTCAACTCAAAGAAAGTTATTGAGGTCGACGATCAAATAGCCAAAAAAGCATTGTGGATGTTCAGAAAGACGTACTTTATTAATTATTTTAGAAAGAAAGGACACTACCCGAACCATTCAAAGACTGGGGAAATTCATCCCACCCTTGAAGAGTGTCTCAAGGATGAGAGGGCCCTAACTAATAGCGAATCTAAAATTCTTCCTCTATCTGCTTGGAATAATGTGGTCTTAAGAAAAAATCATGATATGAGCCTTGAGATTGACGAAAAAGAATTGCTTAAAGATACGGCTTGTTCACCACCAAGAGAAGAATGGTTCAGGCCATACGACCAGTGCGCATTTATGAATCTCTACGGCCAAAGAAAGCCGAAGAGCTGGACTCATTTCGAACCACGAGTTTTGGCAAGATACCTCAAAGGAGAGGAGGGGGAGTTGTCAAAGAAGATTTTGGAACAAGAAAACCTTTATTATAATCACCTGAGAGATGATATCGTACAACTTTGCAGAAAAGAGAGAGAGTTGAACATCAAGGGACGAGTCTTCTGCAAACAAACATACGAAATGCGTCTCATGCAGGTATGTATGGAGAAATCTTTAAGTGAAAATGTACTACCCTATATCAGAGAGCAGTCAATGAACAAACAAATATGGGAGAAGTGGTCTCTAGATTATCTACAACAACTGCAATCAAGGTCAAAATGGCGCTCTCCTAGTAAGAACATTGAAGTGGGGGACGTCGTGGTAGTACGCGAAGACCATATTCCACCTGGAAAATGGACTCTGGGAAGAGTCACAGAAGTTCACCCCGGAAGAGATGGTTACGTTCGCATCGTCTCGCTTAAAACAAAAAATGGAGTCATAAAAAGGCCAGTTATTAAGTTGGCCCTCCTTCCGGTCAGTGAAAATAATCAACAGGTACAATCCGTGTCGGATAGTAACGCTCCAAAACAAGGTGTCCCAAGAGGGGAGGAAACCAAGAACTCATAATAAACAATAGAAAATTATGTAATATAAAACCGGCGCATTGTACTGAAAGGTGGCTCAAATTACAAAACATTAACAGGTGGTTATTCACGTGCTGCGAGGAATGCACACTCCGTATATTTTGTGGTGACACTATGGATATATTGTCTGTAACGTTCAACGGGTTGATTGATGTAGGTCAAGGATGCTCTATTCACGGAAAGGAATTTTTACTATACGGAGATAATCATTTTATGAGTCACATGAACGTTGATCACAGTCTGCCAATAACGAACCACTCCTCTGTGTTGAATCAAATTGTGAATATCTCCTCAATCCTTCCCAGAGAATTTTTAGCGGAAAACCACACTAATAACTGGTTAGATATAGCAGACAAAATAAATAATTTAAAGGAACAGGCTAGCACTACTTTAACCGTACACGATATCCCTCAGTACTCTATACTTGGCGGAATTCTGATCATACTGACAATTACGGCGTGCCTAGGTAGCATTGTCTATTGTCGGAATAAAACGCGGAAGCCCATGGCTACAGCATGTACTACTGCTGCTGCCGGTTGCCACTACAGTTCGAGAGTGCCCCATTGTACCGGAATGTCTGCGGGCCCACAGCGCCAGCCGGCAGGCCCAGCACCACCGGTGCCGGGACCCCTCCCTAGGGAAAGTCCCATTAACATTGCTAAGGACAAAGTGTCTTATAAAATAGTCATACCCGAAATCTATAAAAGTGAAACAAGTGAACCAAGTGAAGTGATTAGTGTATAGGCTATTATTTCGCTTAGAGACTTTAAACTATCCTTAAGTTCTCAACCTTTTGCTATGTCTTAATTTTAATTTTACAACGACATTTCAGTCAGTAACACTTCTTGTTTAAGTTTTTCGTAATTCTTAATTTGAGTTTAAGTTTGAGTTTATTTCCTATTTCGAATGTTAGCTAGCTCTTTTCCTTTTGTTCTGAGGCGGCAGGATGTACGGACAAACGTCCGAACAAAATTACTATATTTTTATAATAATATTATTTTATAGCATAGCTAGCATAATTCTCACGTTCAGCGTCGTGCTCACATCAATGTTTATATTATAAGCAAATTTACAAGGTTAGCTTATTGAACATCATACTTTCCTGCTTTCTTGTAAATTATATTTAAGCGATATTAATAGGAAATAAATCAGTCGCACTACAGCACTCATTGGGTTTGGTTATTTCGCCTCCCTCTTAACCTTTAAGCTGTTAACTCTACAGCATAGCATTAGCAATTACAAGCACGTATACTTTTCGGAACTGTTCTCCACTACAGTCTCTGGTACCCGAAACTCGGGAGTATACGCTAAACTGTTATACATTACAGTTTTTGGTGCCGAAACCCGGGAACCACAGCAGTTCCCACAGCAAAACATTCCGGGAACCACAGCAGTTCCCACAGCAAATCATTCCGGGAACCACAGCAGTTCCCACAGCGAATCATCCCGGGAACCACAGCAGTTCCCACAGCAAATCATCCCAGGAACCACAGCAGTTCCCGCAGCGAATCATCCGGGAACCACAGCAGTTCCCACAGCAAATCATCCCGGGAACCACAGCAGTTCCCGCAGCGAATCATCCTAGGAACCACAGCAGTTCCCTCGCGAATCGTCGCAAATAATGTACAGTGCATCCGCGTCGGGTCGCATTAACTAACTCTATTGTGTGTGTTGCGGTATCATCGGGCGCCGAACAGTAAGGACACACCGTCTATAGCTGCAGCCACAATCAAGCAAAATGGAAAAGCTTCTCCCCGTTCCTTCAGGTGCCAGCGCTCCGCTATCAATCTTGTAAAGGCTCTGAAGTTGGTGCGTTGTAGACTTAAATAATTCGCCGCCTTGTCTGATAGCGGAGCGCTGGAACCTGAATGAGCTGGTGGAACGGGGCTGGAAGCCTGCGAGCGAGTGACGTATTTTATGGGCGCTATTTTACTCGATCCTGGAGCCGATACGTCTTCCTCAGCTAGTGGGTGCGAAGCCACCTTAGACCGCACCTCCTCATAGTATTTTCTGGCTTGATCATACTGATTTCCAGCAAAATACCCAACGTCCTCATGCCTATACATGTCTAAAGCGGAATGATTACTATTGAATTCGGCCCAAAGTTTATCTAACTTTTCTAAGCGCTGTATTATGTAGTCGCGAGTCTTACGACTCGCCGAATCCTTAGAAAAGTTTCTATCGATTTGCCGGATACATTCGAGCACTTCTTGTTGGCGTTGGACAAGCTTATCCATTTTAAAAACGTTTGTTAAAGTTAATAAATGGGACGATCTTACTTGTTTTCGGCTGCAGCTATTGACGGTGTGCACTTACTGCTCTGCGCCCGACGATACCGCACCGCAACACACACAATAAAAACAATGACAAATACTGAGTTAGAAGTTGCCAAACGGATGGATAAAGTCGCATCACACATCAGAGAAAAAGGTCATGCGAACTTGAACTTAGATCTAAGTTCTTGGAACCAATTGAACAGACATGATCTCAACAAATATATATTTCAAGAATTAGACACACTGCATGGGAGGAGGAATCTCTACTCTGACTCGCATTTATGGTTCAACAGATGCATGGTGCTACTCAGCTCTAGATTAACACCCCCTGAAATTGGCCCTAATGGAGAACCCTTAGCAGGAGATTATTGTCACTATAATCAGTTTGGTGGTTTCGAAGGGATGAGACATAAGACATAAACATGGATAAGCAATCTTGTCATTTCGAAGGTCACCTGAATTCTCCAATAGTTGACGATGAAGTCAGATTCATTTTAGGCTACGATAAGTTCTATTGTCACAGACATGAAAAGCTTAAAAGCCTTTTTACCACAAAGTTCAAGGGGATCCGACCTTACTCTGAATATTCAGGGTGTTATTGGTCCCTTGCTGAAGAAATAGTCTCTAATTGTAAATTCCGGGTACCTCAACGTGACTTGGAGTTCTCTCTCAGAGTATTAGCTGAGGCAGCAGTATGGAACACTCGAATTCATCACGAAGGTTACTATGGGATTAAAATGAGTCTGGAACATGAGCTGGAGAATTACATTACTATCTTGCATGACAGCAAAATTCAAGATCTTTACAAGATTAAGACAAAAGTCGAACACATCAAAAGTCAAATCACAAACATAGAACAGACACTCGGGGAGTTCCATGTTGTTTCCGATGACCTCCTGATCGAAAAAGAACTAGCTATTATCAAGACCAAAGGAGATTTTTTCCTATTCCCGACAACACTAATAATGTGTGTCCTTGACAATCTCCAAACTAGATTTTATATTAGACTTCACGTTATGATAAAAGAAAGAAGTGACAAAATACAAAATTTAACTTTCCACTATGACCTCCTTCATTCATCATTAATAAGACTTAGAGGAAAATATAAAAATAGATTTTTCGAATTGATGAAGAATTGGGATGCTTATTGCATCGGAGTTGCCGTATCTGATGAGATCGAAGATTTGGGATTCAAGACCCTTAAGAGTTCAATAGAAGAAAATCTGTTTGAGGAATTTGACAAAAGTAATATTCGAGAACTTCTAGAGACAATTTCATGTTATGGAATAACTCATAGTAGAGACATTGCAGTTCCTATTTCCCTGTACTTCTCAAATCTCAGTAAGAATTATGGGCACCCAATTCTCCACCCGACAGAAGGGATTGAGAAATTAAGGCTCAACTCAAAGAAAGTTATTGAGGTCGACGATCAAATAGCCAAAAAAGCATTGTGGATGTTCAGAAAGACGTACTTTATTAATTATTTTAGAAAGAAAGGACACTACCCGAACCATTCAAAGACTGGGGAAATTCATCCCACCCTTGAAGAGTGTCTCAAGGATGAGAGGGCCCTAACTAATAGCGAATCTAAAATTCTTCCTCTATCTGCTTGGAATAATGTGGTCTTAAGAAAAAATCATGATATGAGCCTTGAGATTGACGAAAAAGAATTGCTTAAAGATACGGCTTGTTCACCACCAAGAGAAGAATGGTTCAGGCCATACGACCAGTGCGCATTTATGAATCTCTACGGCCAAAGAAAGCCGAAGAGCTGGACTCATTTCGAACCACGAGTTTTGGCAAGATACCTCAAAGGAGAGGAGGGGGAGTTGTCAAAGAAGATTTTGGAACAAGAAAACCTTTATTATAATCACCTGAGAGATGATATCGTACAACTTTGCAGAAAAGAGAGAGAGTTGAACATCAAGGGACGAGTCTTCTGCAAACAAACATACGAAATGCGTCTCATGCAGGTATGTATGGAGAAATCTTTAAGTGAAAATGTACTACCCTATATCAGAGAGCAGTCAATGAACAAACAAATATGGGAGAAGTGGTCTCTAGATTATCTACAACAACTGCAATCAAGGTCAAAATGGCGCTCTCCTAGTAAGAACATTGAAGTGGGGGACGTCGTGGTAGTACGCGAAGACCATATTCCACCTGGAAAATGGACTCTGGGAAGAGTCACAGAAGTTCACCCCGGAAGAGATGGTTACGTTCGCATCGTCTCGCTTAAAACAAAAAATGGAGTCATAAAAAGGCCAGTTATTAAGTTGGCCCTCCTTCCGGTCAGTGAAAATAATCAACAGGTACAATCCGTGTCGGATAGTAACGCTCCAAAACAAGGTGTCCCAAGAGGGGAGGAAACCAAGAACTCATAATAAACAATAGAAAATTATGTAATATAAAACCGGCGCATTGTACTGAAAGGTGGCTCAAATTACAAAACATTAACAGGTGGTTATTCACGTGCTGCGAGGAATGCACACTCCGTATATTTTGTGGTGACACTATGGATATATTGTCTGTAACGTTCAACGGGTTGATTGATGTAGGTCAAGGATGCTCTATTCACGGAAAGGAATTTTTACTATACGGAGATAATCATTTTATGAGTCACATGAACGTTGATCACAGTCTGCCAATAACGAACCACTCCTCTGTGTTGAATCAAATTGTGAATATCTCCTCAATCCTTCCCAGAGAATTTTTAGCGGAAAACCACACTAATAACTGGTTAGATATAGCAGACAAAATAAATAATTTAAAGGAACAGGCTAGCACTACTTTAACCGTACACGATATCCCTCAGTACTCTATACTTGGCGGAATTCTGATCATACTGACAATTACGGCGTGCCTAGGTAGCATTGTCTATTGTCGGAATAAAACGCGGAAGCCCATGGCTACAGCATGTACTACTGCTGCTGCCGGTTGCCACTACAGTTCGAGAGTGCCCCATTGTACCGGAATGTCTGCGGGCCCACAGCGCCAGCCGGCAGGCCCAGCACCACCGGTGCCGGGACCCCTCCCTAGGGAAAGTCCCATTAACATTGCTAAGGACAAAGTGTCTTATAAAATAGTCATACCCGAAATCTATAAAAGTGAAACAAGTGAACCAAGTGAAGTGATTAGTGTATAGGCTATTATTTCGCTTAGAGACTTTAAACTATCCTTAAGTTCTCAACCTTTTGCTATGTCTTAATTTTAATTTTACAACGACATTTCAGTCAGTAACACTTCTTGTTTAAGTTTTTCGTAATTCTTAATTTGAGTTTAAGTTTGAGTTTATTTCCTATTTCGAATGTTAGCTAGCTCTTTTCCTTTTGTTCTGAGGCGGCAGGATGTACGGACAAACGTCCGAACAAAATTACTATATTTTTATAATAATATTATTTTATAGCATAGCTAGCATAATTCTCACGTTCAGCGTCGTGCTCACATCAATGTTTATATTATAAGCAAATTTACAAGGTTAGCTTATTGAACATCATACTTTCCTGCTTTCTTGTAAATTATATTTAAGCGATATTAATAGGAAATAAATCAGTCGCACTACAGCACTCATTGGGTTTGGTTATTTCGCCTCCCTCTTAACCTTTAAGCTGTTAACTCTACAGCATAGCATTAGCAATTACAAGCACGTATACTTTTCGGAACTGTTCTCCACTACAGTCTCTGGTACCCGAAACTCGGGAGTATACGCTAAACTGTTATACATTACACATGAAATTTTCTGCGTCCTAAAAGCATGAACATCAATAACCAGTAAGCCGGATAAAAAGGGGAAGATAAATTTTATATCTAGCCCGAGACACCTTCGCCCTTAATTGGCAGGAACGAATTACGTCGGATTATAGATATTAAGTCCGCACCCGGATTGTCTGCGTTACGAATTTGTTGAATGTTTTAGGGTTTTAAATTAATTTACATATTTGGACGGGATAATCGCGGTCGTGTTGTTCAAGACGGACAATATGAATTATACACACACGTGTATGGATTTTTAATTACCCTATCATATCCCATAGACATCATAATTAATCTATATATATAACGCTTGTTCGTGCTAAAGATATCTGCAGCAATCAAGTGTTTTAAAGTTCTTATTATTATAAAAATATAAAATATATGTCGGAGACAACGCGCGGTCTAAATTAAGGTCTAGATTAAATAAATTAATATCGATTGAGTGAAAATTCTTTGAGAAATTTACTAATCATATTTTAAGAGGAAACGAATTCTCTTATCTACCCGCAAATGAGACCCTATTGTTGGGACGTCACGGCCAAGCTGATTTCGTCAGAACTTTAAAAATGGGACGAGATTTCGTAAAACAATAGATCAACTTTTTTAATTCCTCAAAATTATTGAAAATAGCCAGCTAACGAAGACCTCGTTAAACTTAAATATCTAGTTCTTATATGTTGTCTACGCATTTTATTAAAATGGTAAAATGTTCTGTTTTCGCTTTTACCATATTAGCATGTAAATTATATAAGTTAGGTTGACATAAATGACACTTTCCTCATGTTTTCAAAGAAGAAAGCCATTTCCATGATCTCAAAGGTTGGCAACAAATTTGCATTCAAATTAGCTGTTTTACAATAAAGTCGTTTGAAATCTAAAAAACGAATGTACCCATTACTATACATAATACAAAAAATCTATTGGAAAATTATATAGACTATAGCATCTACTATATCGATTTAATTAGCAAGAGGACAATGGACTTGGACAAAATATGATATTTAAGGTTGGTTTTAGACGTCATAAACACGTCTTTTATCGCTGTTGTTCACTTGCTTAATTAATTCAAACAAAATTTGGCAAAATACTTTTAATTACGTTGCTTAATTTAAGTGACATGAATTGTATCTCCTTAGATCGAGAATAGACAATAGACTTATACGTCATATCAATTTTTACAGACTAAATATAACAAATTAACTTACAGACTAAACATATCGCCCCCCAAGGACCACCTAGGGTCCTTCAGTAGTTACATTCTAATGATTATTTACCCAATACCTATTTTAACAAACAAAATTTGTAACTTAACATATGATCTCTCTATCCTAGTCTTTACTAAATTTATCTTTATGTTTGGTACAAAAAAAAACTTAATTAATTATCATCCAAGGGCAGAGGACATAGCTTTGTAACTGCTCTTTTAACTCTTCAATTCCCAGTGTCACCTGTAGGTGACAGTTGTTTAATTATTTTTTTCAACTAAAAGGGTTTTTTTCTTTCAAATTCTACCACTATTGTAGCAAAGTTAAGTAGCAACATTAACAAATATATTTTTTTGGAAACACTAGCAATACGCCATTTGTCAAATTTATTCGGTTGTTTCGCGCGAAATTGGAGCAGTCTGAATTTGTGTGATCTGTTACGACGAAAAGTGAATTTACAATTTCGCGACCGTAAGTACAGTTTTTATTCTTGTTGCATATAATAAATGAATAAATAAGCTATAGTATTACTGTATTTTATGAGAAAAACTACCTATAGAATATTTATTACAACGTTGCAAATATGACGTGTCACCTGTGGGTGACACTGAGCATTATAATAAGTCTATTGCTCTGATTTATTCTAAGCATAACAAGACTATTGTTTATACGTTTTGGTCTTATAGTACGTGGTGATGGTATTTGAGAGCTTGTTTACCTATTACAGATAGACGTTAGATGAGATTGTCTGCAACTCGGCAAAATAATATCGGGGACCTGTCCCCGATTATATTTTATTTCCTCCTGATGACGGTGCAGTGACGGAAGAAGAGAGTGGAGATGAAAAACGAAGCTAACATTATTCACCTTCCAAGTCGCATGCTTCGATCTCAAATAGAAATACAAGAAAGACGTTCCACTTCTAGTGAAAACCGTGTTTCTGACTTGGCAGACGAAGAAGAAGAAATCGGCGTAACTTCGGTGCCGAAGAAAAAAAAGAAAAGAGACAATACTATAAAAAAATGGTACAATACTGTCTGCAATAATTTTACTTTTTGTGGTAAGGAAGACTGCAATGAAGAAGTTTTTTCTGCATCGCGGGGGGAAATGTCTGCTGTCTTATGGTGGATCGAATTTGATTCGTAGACAAAAAACCGGCAAAAATTCAAGTAGATTGCCCCGCCGTTATCAAAATGTACAATAAGTACATGGGTGGCGTAGATCGTTTCGACGAAAACGTGGACTCCATGAGGGTAGGTCTTCGTGGCAAAAAGTGGTAGTACCCTTTATTTGCTTTTGGCTTAGATGCAGCTTGCCAAAATGCATGGCTAATAAAAAGCCAGTCTGAAAACAACTGGACCTACTGCGATTTCCGGCGAAATGTTGCCGTGATCTATCTGCAAAAATATGGCAAACCAAATTAGATTGTGGCCTACGTCTGCAGATAAGAATGCCTGCCGAGGTGAGGAGTGCAGGAAGTGCTGACGATCATTCGCAAATGGACTGCTCTCAGCGAAGATGTGGATATTGTCACCAACGCACAAGAAAAATGTGTGGCAAATACAATGTTGGTTTGCATCTAAAGAGCTGGTACAAATTCCATAATTAATAAGTATAATAAAAAAAAAATAAGTATTCTGTTTTTGTATATTCTACATAAATACATATAATATTTTTGACTTGCCTTTTTGTTCTTACTGCAGGAATAAGTAAAGTGTCTTACCATGTTCAGTGTATTAGTACCTACCATAATGCCCAGTGTCACCTACAGGTGACACCCCCATAAAAAAGGGGGGGGGTAATTCATTTATTTTCTATATATTTTTTTGTCTTTACCCAATGTATATAAGTTATTTTACTTGAAAAGAAAAGAAAAATATTTATAAACTTGGACCTGGGAATTGAAGAGTTAATAATAGTACCACCTCTTGTTTTCAACGATGCTACTCTTACTATTCCATCGGACCCTGGATGGATATGGACAATTCTACCCAAAAGCCATTTACAGGGAGGTAAGCGATCATCTTTGATTAAACAAATTGTATCTAAACTAATGTTTCTTTCTTTTGTTGACCACTTATGTCTTTGCTGTAAAGTAGTTAGGTATTCTGATTGCCATCTACGCCAAATACTTTGAACAATTTTTTGAATGGTTTGCCATCTATCCAGATAATGAGTTTTTACATCTTGTAAAGTTTCCTCGGGCACATGCAAAAGAGGTTCCCCAACAAGAAAATGACCTGGGGTTAAAGGAGAATCATCAATAGATGAACTAATTAACGTTAGTGGACGAGAATTAACACAAGCTTCAACTTGAGTAAGTAAAGTACAGTATTCCTCGAAAGTTAGACACGTTTGACCAATAGTCCGAGTGAGATGACCTTTAATGGACTTCACTCCTGCCTCCCAGAGCCCTCCAAAATGTGGACTTCCTGCAGGGATGAAATGCCACGTTGTATTAGAGTTAGCTAACAGTTCAGCAATCTCTTCAGTTACTTTAGATTTAGAGTTTTTGAAAGCAAGATTTAGTTCACGTAAGGCACCTACAAAATTTGTACCACAGTCACTCCACAGATCTTGGCAGTAACCTCTACGAGCTGTGAATCTTCTAAATGAGGCAATAAAAGCTGAAGCTGTTAAGTCACTGACTAACTCCAGATGAATGGCTTTTGTTACAGTACATACAAATAAACAGATATATGCTTTGCAAGTTCTATTACACTTCCCTGGATATAATTTAAGAGTCACTGGTCCAGCATAATCTACACCACTTGTACGAAAGGCACGAGCAGGATTGACTCTGAACTGCGGTAAATTTCCCATAAATGGAGTAACAGATATGGCTCTTTGTTTATAGCATGAAATACACTGATTAATTACTTTTTTGACTAAATTCTTACAAGAAATTATCCAGAATTTTTGTCTAACTAAATTCAACGTTAACTGAATTCCTCCATGTAGTGAATTTAAATGTGCATTAATTACAATGAGTTTAGCCAAGTTACATTCATTAGATAATATGATTGGATATTTCATATCTGAAGAAATATTTGCATTTTTCAATCTGCCACTTAGTCTTAAAATATTTTCTGAATCTAATATTAGACATAGACTATGAAGTTTATTAGATTTTGGTATACATTTTTGTTTTAACAATAATGAAATTTCAACTGAAAAATGAAATTGCTGTGAAAGTTTGATACAAATCTTTGAGGCAGTTTTAAGTTCATCATTAGTCAAATATTTACAAGTTATTGTTTTTTTACATAAATTAATAAATCTTTGACAATATGCTACAACACGAATCAATTTTGTTAAACTTGAATATTTACTTAGTATTGAATTACAATCAACATTAGGCACTACATTAATTTTATGACAAACAATTGGCTTTAATTCTAAGTATGTATCCGGTGAAACAAAATGTTTGAATTGTGATTTATTATTTTTGTATAATAATTCTGGACCAGTCCACCATAACTTGTGATTAATTAAATCAGCTGGATCAAGCCCACGCGAAGCACAGTCAGCGGGGTTATCAGAAGAGTTAATGTGATACCAATGTTCACTATTATACAAGTTAAGAATTTCTGACGTTCTATTAGCAATGAAAGTTTTCCATGAATTTGGATTTTTTTGTAACCATGAAAGTACAATAGTGGAGTCCGTCCACGCATACACATTATTATTCTTAATTTTTAAATTAATTTGAACATTATGCAATAAATTTGCTAATAATACAGCACCGCACAACTCTAGCCTTGGCACTGAAATTTGTTTTACTGGAGCAACTTTTGTTTTTGCCATAACTAAATGAGTTTTAACTTCATATGCATTAATAACTCTAATGTAAATGACAGCAGCATACGCGTCACAAGATGCATCACTGAAGCCATGTAATTCTACTTTAGTATTAGATTTCGAAGTATCAAGCCAGCGAGGTAAGTAAAAACTATTATATTGTGCTATACTATTAACAATCTTATACCACTCACGTTTTAAGTTATCATTTAAAGAATCGTCCCAACCTAGACCTGTTAACCATAACTTTTGCATAAATATTTTAAAAACAATTACAATAGGAGCTAGAAAACCCATTGGATCAAAAATTTTAGCTATTGCAGATAAAACTTTTCTTTTAGAAATGATATTACAACTAGTGAAATCATAAATGTCAAAGCTAAGTTTAAATTTATCGTTTGTAGGATCCCATTTGATTCCTAAAGCTTTAATTGAATGGTCTAGTGTAATATTTACAGGTTTATTTTTACTGGAAACTTTTAAATGATCAGAAATATTACTAAGTACTAATTCACTATTGGAAGACCATTTATGCAAAGGAAAACCTCCACTTAAAAGGATACAAGTAAGTTGCTGTTGTAACTGGATTGCATCTTTTTCTGTATCTGCACCCGTAAGAAGATCATCAACGAATACATCGGTTTTCAGGAGTGGAGCTGCTTCAGGGTAAGCATGTGATTCATCAACACTGAGCTGGTGTAAAGTTTTTATAGCAAGATATGGAGCACATGAAGTACCATAGGTAACAGTTAATAATCTATATTCTTTAATAGGTTCATCAGGCCTTTCCCTCCATAATATTCTTTGGTAATCTGCATCAGACTTATTACACCAAATACAGCGATACATTTTTTGAATATCAGCAACTAAGCAGTATTTGTGTTGACGCCATCTTGTAATTAGATCTCTAATATCTTGTTGCAAAGGCGGACCAATAAGCAGTTCATCATTCAATGAGGTACCATCTGGTGGTTTTGCAGTACCATCAAAGACTACTCGTAGCTTTGTACTAACACTAGCTTCTCGAATAACTGCATGATGAGGTAAGTAATACTTATCTTTTTTATTTACTTCTTTTTCAGGTACAAGTTCCATGTGACCATCAGTTAAGTATTGTTTCATAAATTTATTATAGTCTTCTTTAAATTTTGAATTTCTTTTGAATTTGTTTTCAACTTGCAGTAGCCGTTGAGTAGCAATTATTTTAGAATCTCCTAACCTTTCCTTAAAGTTATCTTTAAATGGAAGACAAACAATGTATTTACCATCAGTATGCCGTGTGTGAGTAATTTCATAAATAGATTCACACTTCTTATCTTCAGGTGTCATTACTTTATAATCAGGTAGGTAAGTTTCAATTTCCCAAAATTTCCTAAGAAGTTGATCCACTTCCACTTGTGTATGATGTACCAGAATATGCTGTGGTCGTGAATTTGTGTAAGGTATCTTACCAGATATAAGCCATCCTAAGTGTGAGTTGAGAGCAATAAGACAGTTGTGTCTCTTTAAACCTTCTAACATAATGTTTGCATGAACTTCTGCACCAAGCAGAACATCTACTGTACCTGGTTTGTAAAAGTATGGATCAGCAAGTTCAAGTTTTTCAGGCCAGGTATGTGATGAACATTGTTCGACAGGTAAAAGAGTTGTAATTTTCTTGAAAACATAAGCCATAGTTGTAAACGGCTGAGAATCGTTATAGCATGAACAAAAACTTAAGTTGACCATATGATTGGTTGTGAATGATGCTTTGCTACCGATTCCTGTGACTTTAGATTGAACTCTTATTTTCTTAAGTGCAAGCAATTGTACTGCTCTTTCTGTGATAAAAGAAGCTTGTGATCCTTGATCTACAAGTGCTCTTAGTGTGTATTTATTTCCATCTCTGGATTGAACTGAAATGTGAGCAGTAGCCAATAAGACTTGGTGATTCGTTTCTACTTTGAGGCTGACAACCGGATCCGATAAAGACTGAACCGGTGCAGTTGTAGGTTGAGTGATAACATCACTTGTGAAGTTTTTATTTCCAGTAATATGTAAAAGAGTATGATGCCGTCGACCACATTTCTTACAGGAAAGCGATGAGTGACAGTTGTTACTGGTATGTCCTTTAACTAAGCAATTGAAACAAAGTTCTTGTTTTTTAGCAAACTCTTGTCTTTGTATAACTTCTAATTTGCCAAATTCCTTGCAATGACATATAAAATGTTTTTGTGAACAGAATGTACAGCTGGTTTCCTTGTTTGTAGTAGTAAAAGACTTAAAGGTTTGTTTATTTGATTGGCGAGTGATTTGTTTAAATTCTTTTTTCTCATTCATATCAATAATTTCTAAGGTTCTAAACTGTTTTTCTAAATGTGCTTCCAACATTTTAAAAGTTGGAATATCTGTTGAAGCTCCTAGGGACTGTTCCCATTGTTTAATAGACCCCGAGTCAAGCTTTGAGGTAATTATATGCACTATTATAGCATCCCAAGTGTTCACATTAATTCCTAAATTCTCTAGTGAATCTAAACATTCTTTTGATGTGTCTAATAATAATTTTAGATTGTATGCATTTTCATAATTTAATTTTCTTTGAAGTAAAAATCTGTTTAATATTGTATTAACTATCATTCTTTTGTTATCATATCTATTTTGAAGAGTATCCCACGCTTTATTGTAGTTAGCTTCAGTAAGAGAAAAGTTTTTCAATAGTTGTTCGGCTTCTCCAATTAAACTTGAGCGCAGATAATGATGTTTTTCAATGATTGTTAAATGTTTATCGTTATGTACTAAATTTAAATATATATCTCTAAAACTTGCCCA